ACAGTTGAGGTAGCTTTAAGAGGAAATGGAAAGGACACACAACGAGATTTTTAGGAAATGGACATTCTTAAATGCATGGTTCAGACCACATGCACCCTTTAGAAATTATATCTGTTTTAAAAGAATGTACTTACAAATGCTTTTGATTATGAGGATGCACTATTACATTTCTTACTGTTATAATTTTTAAAAGTTCTCAGGCACCGTTGAATTATTTAATTGTTAAGTGTGATGTCAAGATGCAGTTATTTTACAAAAGGAATGTTTTATTGTACAGAATGTTGTCTTTGTAATATCTTTGTATACAGTAATTTTTTTCTTGGTAATATAATAAATGGAAAAAATTCTAAAACCCTTACTAAAATGTTGTTGCTATTTGACTTTAAAAATATCAACGAGATGTTCTTTGTATTTATAGCATCTTCCTCACAGAGAAAGCTAGTTTTGGTTGCTTAGAAACAGTAGGCATTTTAATGGAATGCTGCAGCTGGAAATACTTGCATATATAACTGCCCTTTGAGATGACAGATAATTTTGTAGAGTACTAAAATGCCTTTTTTTTTAGAAAATAAAAAAAGATTTTTATTTTCTGCCTTCCTGACTTATTTCCTGCCTGTTTCTCTTCCTTCCTGAATAACTAAGGACAAAAGTCATTCACTCATTCTGAGCAAGGCACAGGTAGGTATTAACCACAGCAGGTGGGATTACAGTATGCAGAGCCCAAGGAGAACATGTAGGGTAGTGGGGAGGGGAGTCTCAGTGATCTGAAATAGGGATGCAGCCTTAGGAGATCACCTAGGAGGGGGACTGATCTATTAAGTTAATACATTAAAGCTAATGGGAGCCAGATTTCTCACTCTCAGTGAAAGAAATGGCAAACATGGAAAGGGAGAGAAAACTAGAAATAAGATTGGAATCAGAAATAGTGGTATAATTCATAGTGTTCAATATATGTAAAAAAAAAAAAAATACATAGAAGTAAGCATGACTGTGTGCATGCCATGAGAAGGCTTGGGAGCACCAATGCCACAATAGCAATGAGCAGACCTAGTGCCCGGATTTTGGTTTATAAATACCATTTTCTACTAAAAGGAACTAGTTCCTCTTAGTGAAATAGCCCACACTAGGGCTGGTGCAGATGAAATACAAGATGAGCTTGGAGTGTCTTTTTGTATTAAAGCAACAGCATTCAAAAATAATTAAAGAACATTCTCCAAGAATAATAGGATCATGTTAAAAGGACACAGGACTCAGCTTGGTGGGGCGTCCACTGGCCAAATCAGGACTTAGAAATCAAAATAAACATCAACAACAAATTATAACTCATTGAATAAAACAGGAAGCCATGAATACACAAGAAGGAAAAGTTTTAAGTAATATAGAACTTACCCAATGCCAACCAAAAAATATAAATGAGGAAACTAGTTTTGCAAGGCATGTCAGGCCATAAAAACTGTAAACAATGCACTGCCCTGGAGGGAAGGGGGGGCGGGGGGAGGGTTATGCTGGCGCCAGGATGTGGCCTGACACTTGGGGGCCTTGCTACAGGGCCACGAAGGGGGCAGAGGACATAGGGCATATTTGCAAGACAAAGACCCCAGCAGGATATATATGTACAGGCTCTCTGCATGTTTCTTCACTCTGATTTGGAAGTTATTCCTGGAGTCCACTGGTGTTAATAAATGGGGTCCCTCCCTTTCTCTAGGAAGCGTGCTTGGTATTTCTTTGCTCTTCTGTAACATAAAAGGAATTAGAAAATGAGTATTTGACAGTCATCCTATCTAATAAAAGAGAAACATGGTAATTGGCGTACGACCACTACCCTTCCCATTGGCTAATCAACGAGATATGCAAATTAACTACCAGCCAAGATGGCGGCCGGCAGCCAGGCAGCTTGAAACTAACATGAGGCTTGCTTGCTTCAGTGACGGAGGACTCCAATGTTCCCCGCCTGCCTTGCCGGCCTCTGAGCTTGCAGTTTAAAAAACATTGTAACAAATATAGAAGCTAAACAAAACCCCAGAAACCTGCTTTCAGCGAGCCCCAGATCTCAGAGCTGGAGTTATACATTGTTTCGATTATAGGACTGAAACAAACCAGATACCTTCTTTCAGCAGCAGAGGCCTCAGAGCTGGAGCCAGAGCTAAAGCTGGCCCAGAATAAAAAAGAAAAAGAAAAAAAGGAGCAGTTGGGAGCTTCAGTTGGCCTGAAAACAGCCCTCAGCCCCTCACCCAGACTGGCCAGGCACCCCAGTGGGGACCCCCACCCTGAAGGGTGTGTGACTAGCTGCAAACAGCCATCATCCCCTCACCGAGGCTGGCCAGGCACCCCAGTGGGGACCCCCCACCCTGATCCAGGACACCCTTAAGGGCAAACCAGCCAGCCCCACCCATGCACCAGGCCTCTATCCTGGTAAAAGGATAATATGCCTCCCAGCACCGGGATCAGCGTGACAGGGGGCAGCGCCCAAACCCCCTGATCACCCTGTGGCTCTGTGTGTGACGGGGCGGGGCCACAACCTCCCTATCCGCCCTGCTCTGTTCGTGACAGGGGAAGGCGCCCCAACCCCCTGATCAGCCCTGCTCTGTCCCTGATAGGGGGGAGCTCCCCAACCCCCTGATCACCCTGCGGCTCTGTGTGTGACAGGGTGCGGCGCCCCAACCCCTCTACCCCACAGGCCCTGCTCTGTGTGTGACAGGGTGCGGTGCCCCAACACCCCCCCCAACGGGCCCTGCTCTGTGTGTGACGGGGTGGCACCGCAACCTCCCCATTGACCCTGCCTTGAGTGTGACAGGGGGCAGTGCCCCAACCCCCCAATCAGCCCTACCCTGAGCGTGACTAAGGGTGGCATCGCAACCTCCCAATCTGCCCTGCTCTGTGCATGACAGGGGAATGCGCCCCAACTCCCCAATTGGCCCTGCTCTGAGCCCGACCAGGGGCTGCACCTAGGAATTGGGCCTGCCCTCTGCCACCCGGGACCAGGCCTAAGCCAGCAGGTCGTTATCTCCCGAGGGGTCCCAGACTGCGAGAGGGCACAGGCCAGGCTGAGGGGACCCCCCCTCCCCCACGAGTGCACAAATTTTTGTGCACCAGGCCTCTAGTCTTACCTAATAATAAACAAACATGTAAATTAACCATCCCGCCACTACACTCACCAGCCAATCAGGAGAGTATGCAAATTAGCCCAACAAAGATGGCAGTTAATTTGCATACATAGGGTCAAAGCGTTGGAGCGAAGACTGAAGGCTCTAGCTGGAGCGAAGGCCTGGGTCCCGGGTGCCGAAGGGAAACCGTTGCCAGCAACCAGGGGAAGGGAAGGCCTATTGCACGAATCTCTTCGTGCAACAGGCCTCTAGTTGTAGTAATAATTGATTCAGTTGAAAATCTTCAGTGAATGCTAATACTAATAAGTGAAATTTTGATGTCACTCTGTAAGATATTTATTAATCAAAGGGAAAAAAGAGTGGAAGAGTTTGGCAGATACTACCTTCATTAATTGAAAAAAAGTCTAATCATTGGTAACAGCACAAACCAAAATTGTGTGACACTTTTGCAAGAAGAAGATACTATTTCTTCTGTGGTATTCTTGTTAAAAAGGTACAACCTGGATCTATTAATGAAATATTAGGCAAACACAAATTGAGGAACAATCTATTAAATAACTGGCCTGAAATCTTCAAAGTGTTAAAATAATGAAAGTCAAAGAAAGATGAACTGTTTCAGATTCATGGAGACTAAAGTGTGATCCCTTAACTGTGCAGTATCAAATTAATTCCTGATTTTGATCATTATATTGTGATGAATGAAGTAGAACAATGTCCTTGTTTATAAGAATTACACACTAATGTAGGGTGATAGGGCATCACTGGCTCAGTGATTCAGGAAACAAGACTCTTTGCACTTTTCTTGCAACTTTCCTGTGAATGTGAAATTGAAAGTATTTTTTCATAAAAAAAAAAAAAGAGTACCATTTTTAAAAATCAACTCAGAAAAGCTTACCTCAAAGTTCATTCTTTTATATGGACTTAAAAAGCAAAGAATCAAGCTCCAAAAGAAAATATCTACCTAAGTAAAGAGTTTTTCTCTTTGGAAATGGGAGTTTAACTTCTAAGTTTATTTCACATAACTTACAAATGTAACTAGTTATCTTATTTAGGAAATTTTTAATTTTACCAACTTTATTTTTACTTTTCCAGGTATTTAGAGTTGATGTTTTTTTTAAACTAAACCACAGACGATATTTGGGACAAAGAGGTGCTAAGAAGTACAAAAGGTCCTTTCACTAAGTGTTATTTACAAGACTTAAAGCTGTAAGATATCACAAAACTAATTTTAAAATACTTTTATACAGGCAAAAGTGAAACGATAGTATTCTCATTACTTAATGTTTTCAGTTTTGCATAAACAAAGACCTACATTAATTTAACATGTCTCTTAATTATTATATGAACATTTGAAATAAGTATTTATAACTAAAATTTACACTTTGCTTGAAATTTTGCATAACCTCAGGAATAAAAATTTAAGAAATAGAGGTCTTCTAATTTGTGTTAGCTCAGGAGGTTCTGAATTCTTCCATTTTGCAGATCCACTGAATTCAAAGACAAGCCAAAAACATGCAAAAGACTAGCTCCCCACATTATTTAAATGTCTTTTTGTAGCAAAATTTCCCCAGAAACTGAGAAACATTCACACAAAAGGTCTTACCTTTTTATCAAAAGTTTATTTCTATTATCCCTTTCTCATTTTCTGGCTTATTGAAAATAGTGAAAAAAAATTACTTGCTGTTATTCACATAATGAAATTTCATGAAAAAACCATTTTCCTGATTTCTGAAGTGAATAATACATCTTGTCAGGCTGGTGTTGCTCAGTGGGTGAGAGTCGAGCTATGAACCAGCAGGTTGAGGTTTAATTCCTGGTCATGTGCTGGGATTTCGGGCTCTATACCCAGTAAGGGGGGATTGGGGGGGGGGGGGAGAAGATGTTTCTATCTCTCTCCCTCTCCCTCTCTGAAATCAATAAAAAAAATATTTTAAAACAATTTTTTAAAATAATACATCTTAGTATCTGAATTATATTGGAGAGATAGGAAACTGGGTAATCTAATACTATCCAAGTCACATGTGTTCTGAAGCTCAGAGGGTTGAGTCAGGATGATGGAAATGACACTGAAGCGTAAAATTTTAATGAGACTCCTTTCTGAAAGTTTTCTCTTAATGACTCAACCGTTTTCTCTAGGTTTTGTTTGTTTTTTCCTCTTCATAGTACTGATGATTAACTTACTAGCAAATGGTAATCATGAGATACTATGAAATATACTTGGGCTATTTTGGGATAAGCTCCTTGAATCTAAATTCTAAAAGTCAGTTTTCATGGTTATGTGCATTAAAATGACATCCTCAACTGCCTCCTTCACACAGTATGTGCTCAATAATAAGGTTTATTAGAAAGGGCCTACAGACCAGGAAACGTAAGTTTGGTCTTAGACATGGAAGTAACTAACAATTTAGATAAATCATTTAACTGCTATCTTTGGTTTTCATATTTATAACATGGAGATGATAATATCCTGTCTACCTGATAAGGATGTTTGAGGTTAGATAATATATTGAAGCCCGCTAGAATAGTATCACCTTTTTTGGGCAATCTCAATTTTTCAAAATCTTATCCCTGGCAATGAAGTTATTGAAGGCACTTGTGTCTCCTTCTTTAAAAGATTTATTAAAGTCTCTTACCTCGATTCCTAAGGTTTTACTTTCCCTCTCCAGGAAAGGCATTGACAATTTTAGATTGTCAATGAGTAACTTGAAGTCATTAGCATTTGTGACAAATCACACCAAGAGTACTTCTATTGGTAATAGCTTGCTAGAAGCTTACTGGGAAAAATATTAATGGTCTCAGATTTGCATTTGGTATCTTATTATAAGATACTGTGCTGCATAAATATAGACAACTTATCAACATTGTTTTAAAAATTTAGAACATGATTTTAAAGGTGGTAATTCTCTTGTGAAGGGAAGTTTTGCTGAAAGAAATTACAGCTTCTTAAGATTATCAGAGAATGTATCCTGTTTGTGCACCTCTCTAAATGGAAGAATGAATATAGGGAATGGTTTCATAATTCATAGTTGGACTTGTGGGGGTTGGCGAGGGAACAAGAAAAATCATAAGACATCTTTAGAACAATGTAGCACACATTCTACACATACTGTATATGGATCCTGAGATGTTACAAGTTTAAAAATAAATAGATCAACATGATCCAAACAGTTGCCAAGACACCCTTATGGTGGGTAAACAGCCGTTTCACAATGTATGCTGAATGGACATCCACGTTGGGCCACAAAAACCCTACTCCGTTTCCAAACTTGAAAGCTAGTCATCCAGAGCAGGGGGCCAGTCAACATCTACAGACTGGAAGGAAGAAAACAAGTCATTAAAATATATTCCTGTTCTAGGAAGCAATTGCTGGTAATGCTGTGTAAGTTAAGACTTCTAATCTATACTAATAAAAGGGTAATATGCTAACTAGACCGGACATCTTCTGGATGACCTTCCGGGCGTCCTTCCGGACAAAGCCATGGTGGAGGGGCTGAGGCAGAGGCGGTTAGGGGGGATCAGGCTGGCAGGGGGGAGCAGTTAGGGGGATCAGGCCAGCAGGCAGGTGAGCAGTTAGGAGCCAGTGGTCCTGGATTGTGAGAGGGATGTCTGACTGCCAGTTGAGGCCCGATCCCGGAGGACATCCCCTGAGGGGTCCCGGATTGGAGAGCGTGCAGGCTGGGCTGAGGGACACCCCACCCCCGTGCACGAATTTCGTGCACCAGGCCTCTAGTCTATATATATAAAAGGCTAAGCAAACAGCCAACCAGCCAACCAGCCAGTAGCTGTGACACACATTAAGTACCAGGGGACAGATGTTCAACGCAGGAGCTGTCAAGTGCCCTCTTGCACTCTGGGACCCCTTGGGATGTTGGACTGCCGATTTTGACCCAATCCTCGCAGGCCAGGCCAAGGGGCCCCACCTGCTGGAGGGAACTGCTCACTCCACAGACACCCTTTGAGCCCCAGCACCACCCCAGGTGTGGCTGGCCAGGGAGGGACTACGGGCAATTGGCTTCAGGGCATGTCCAGCCTGTCTTGCCCAGTCCCACTTTGCCGGCCACCTTCTAATTAATTTCCTTTCAATGTGTATGAATCCGTGCACCAGGCCTCTAGTATACTATAACAGAAGAAACTGCATTTGAAGAAAAGAGTCAATGAATGCAATTTAACACTCTCAAACCCTCTGGGACCTGGGGTTCGTGGGCCTGCAGTCTGTTGCTAAATTTATTGAGCATTCTGTTACTCAGCTGGTTATTAATTGTGCCTTTTGACTGATAAAAGAGACTAGAGTACATTAAAAAATTTTAATGTTATTTATGGGTAAGTAACAAACAAGTTCAGGTGGCAACACCAACTTTCCCTAAGAAGTTTCAGCCACTTTTATTCTTCTGGTCATTTTCATGTTCCCATATTTCTACCCACCCTGGTCTGGCTCTTCTAAAACAAAACCTTGAGCTTCAGGTCATAATGAAATTATAGTACCAGACTATTCTGTGCCACATTCCAGCCTTAGAAGTACGATATTGCACCTTGTCTTCACTACCCTAGAGGGCTTAATTTAGGGGAAAGTTTCTTTTAAAAAATCCACTGTACCTGTGTTGTTTGAGACTTAAACTTTGAAACTTGAACTAATTTGCTAAAAATGATTTTCGAATTAATCTATGAGTCACTTCATATACCGTACGCAGAAAATATTAGAAGACCCCAAATAACAATTGCATATGTGTGTGTGCTCTTCTATAAATCTCAGGGAAATAATTGGATTCTGTTTGAGACTATAGCCATATACCCAGAAAACACTGCTCACAATCTTGTAGTGTTGTGGGCAGTGGGGCGGGAGGGGTGGGGGTGGAGGAGGGGTAAGTATGTTGTAATGTTGAAAAGCTCTACAGGTGAGTCTATTGAACAATCAGGGCTGAGAAACACTGGCCTGTGGCTCTTTTGACACTCTGAAACTGTCCTGAGAAGTAAGGCAAAGAAGACAATGCAACTGGGATTTTCTTTAACAGAATGGGATTTTCTTCATCAGAATGACTGAATGACGGTGTTTCCCCGAGGAGGCTCCCTGCAACCTTGAAGATGCTGTCACTGGCTGAGCTGTATGAGATCCCATCTGAAAGCACTCAAGAGGCCTGCTGGTGAGGTAATAGTGTTCCAGGGCTCACTTGATTGCCATAGCTGCTCTCACACTGGGCAACTCTACCCACCTTTTATAATGGGTACAATTCCCAAGTACGAAACGTTAGCATCTCCTAAAATGTTTGTTGTGGGGGTGGGAAGGGGCTGTATTCCTAATGGGATATTCGTCAAGGAGCACAACTTGTGACTCAATACCTACTGCTGCTCAAATAAGAAAAATATTGATGGAGAACTTCCTGAAAGATCCAGTCTGTCCATTTTTCTAATTACTTACAAATTTAACCTTGTTTCAATTCAGATTATAAGAGTGGAGAATTTGGACCACAGCATAGTGGTCCCTTATAGAACTGCTTTTATTAATAACCATCGGCTCAATCCATTTTCTACCCCTGTCCTGAACATACATTTCTCAGTAGTTTACCTTAAATTCTTTAAAAGACAAAACTGGTATGGGAATGAACTATAGAGTCCAAAGGACATATGAAAGGCAACTTCATTTCTTTGCTTGGTTTAAGGGTTTAGATCTCATGCCATATGTAAAGAACAATTAATAAGTTAGCTATATATTTTTGCAAGGGGGATAAATGAGACCTTGTGGGGTTTTTTAAAGACATAAAAATTCCAAGATAGACCCTCCCTGCAATATAAAGCTATCGTGAGATTTTGATCATTTTCAAACACCTCTTAAGGTAAGCAGTACTATTTGGCTTAATGCCAAAAAAGCATAACTTTGAATTCAAGGTGAAAATGGGCATTTCCACAATAAAATGGTTTACCTCAACGTCCAGCTCAAGAATGTCTGCAGTCACATTCATCAGAGAGCCAATGTTCGGCTTGGTTCTCCCGAAGTCTCCGTGTACAAACTCTTTAATGTAGCTGGGGTTTGTTTAAGGAAAAAAATAGGATAGCCACGCAGTACCCATTGTTTGGTGAGATTTGATAGATGAAAGAGAAATAATAAAAGTAGAAATGTTACAAAAGAGGTTATTTCTGAGCTGTGACTTGTGATGTGTGTCTCAGAAATTAGGCTATACAAACTGGATCCTACCTGCCTAGCAGCCAACATCAGGACCTACAACTTGTGTTTACATCAAACTTGCCAAGAGTCATCATTTTCTTTTTTCTTTAGCTCATCTCCAAGTATCAAGGTTTGGGTATGGGTTTTCACAATCAGCTGTAGATAAATGCCATATATATATATATATATATATATATATATATATATATATATATATATAGTTTTTTTGTTTTTTTTTTAAAATCTCAGCTATTGTTTCTTCGCCACAACTTCCATTTTGACAACTTTCTTGTCCCATTTTTCAATAATGGCAGCCGGTATCTGCCATGTGATAGGTTTCCAGAGTCACAAGAGTCACAAGAGTCACCTCAGAGACGGCTTTCCTTGTAATGTGATCCAGTGACACAATGGCAATGGGAGGGGAGGGACAATAAGACAATTTAGTCTTGATGAAGGCCCTTCAAAAGGATTACCAGAGGACCTAAATTCTAGTTGTTTTGCAAACATGGTAAGCAAAAGGATTAAGTAAATTCTCTCTTTTTTTACTGGGGCAACTTTGTGTTTTACTCAGAAGTCTTCAAATTTTGAAGTCAGTGACTAATCCTAGAATTAGTTATTAATAAGATTATATTAACATCCCTTACACAGGACTACTACAACCTTGACAATCTTTATCTGAAAGATATGTTTTTGCCAGCATTCAGTAAAAATTCATTCACCATTATGTTGTCGTCCATAAACCAGCACTTGGTAGAAAATTTAATATGATTTGAATAGAAAAAATAAGTTTGTTCTCAGATGATGAATAATAATTTAAAAAAAAATAACAGCATAATATGCTGATGTATCCCCCTCACTTTCTGAAAGTTTATTCACTCAAGTTTTACCAAATGTTTTGACTCAAGCATAAGATGTGTGACTGTCTTCTTTGCTAAACTCATAATTAGTTAACAACTATCATTCTTTTTCTCTCACTTTCTTTAGAGAATGCCACTTCTGAGTAGCATTGATGAGGTAGATGACCCAAAATCAATTATAAGGTCCAGAATGGTTCTTAATCATACCCTGAGGGGTGAGGTGTAAGTCAAATGAACTCGTTCCGTGTACTGAGCAGTATCTGTGAAAAACATATATTTCTGAGTATAACCACATGGTATCTACAGCTGTGCCAGCTGTCTTGGCTAATGCCTTAAGTTACATGTACACGGCTAGTTCTAAAAACATCTAATGAGATTAAAAAGATCTTAGCTTCTCCAAAATACCACTGCGTTTCTCCCTAGCACACAAAACTAAAGCTAGGATTAGGTAGAAAGGATTTTTTTTTTTTTTTAAGAACCTGTGATTTCTTTGAAATCCCATCCACATGCCATGTATAATGGGCAGATGTGTTCCAAACAACAGAGATACAAAGATCTGCCCACTGAATACACCACCCCTTGTTCTAAATAGTAAAATCTTAGGAGATTTTAGAAGTAACCTATGCCTGTTTTTGAGGGGGAAACCCTGGTCACTCCTAGGGCGGGATAGGGGAGACAGAGGGGTGAGGAGGTTGGTGGGGAAGGAGAGGCAGACTAATTACAGCAGCATAGTACAAATGCTATTTGGTGATTAAAAATTAACATTTTCCCTCTTATATCCATAAGCATATCATTAATCTTATACTAGTTAGATGGCATTTTGTCATTTCATGCTAGTAGATCACAAAATAATATAAAACCAAGAAACAAATAAAAACTAGGAGCACTGCCCTAACCGGTTTGGCTCAGTGGATAGAGCGGCAGCCTGCGGACTCAAGGGTCCCAGGTTCGATTCCGGTCAAGGGCATGTACCAGGGTTGCGGGCACATCCCCAGTAAGGGAGTGTGCAGGAGGCAGCTGATGGATGTTTCTAACTCTATCCCTCTCCTTTCCTCTCTGTAAAAAATCAATAAAATACATTAAAAAACAAACAAACAAACAAAAACTAGGAGCACCTTTGAAAAGTAAACTAAAGCTAAGACAACAGCAGCTCTCTAATTTTATTTTATTTTATTTTTTTTAGGTTCTCTAATATTTTATAACCAGCAAGTCAGACCTGATACCAAACCATGCAAGGCAGGGTAGGCTATGGACAGGCGATCAGCCTTGGACTGGTCTCTTGTTCTGGGCCAGCAGCCAATAAAGACCATTCTGTAAAGTGGGGCCACTCCCATCTACTCTCAGTGTTTAATCATCTGGGCACGTGCTCAGAAAGGTTGAAAGGACCCAAATGTGGTCATGAACATGTGACTGGCAAAATGTGTAAAGACAGCCAAGGAATCAACGGGTTTCCTGAGTACTTACTATGTGCTCACCATTGTGTGAGACACTACATATATTTTTTTAAATATATTTTATTGATTTTTTACAGAGAGGAAGGGAGAGAGATAGAGAGTCAGAAACATCGATGAGAGAGAAACATCGATCAGCTGCCTCCTGCACATCCCCCACTGGGGATGTGCCGGCAACCCAGGTACATGCCCTTGACTGGAATCGAACATGGGACCTTTCAGTCCGCAGGCCGACGCTCTATCCACTGAGCCAAACCGGTTTTGGCAACACTACATATTTTAAAGATCACTTTGAACTGGCTGCTGCCTCATGGTTTAAAATGGCATTTTGAAAAATATAAATTTAATGAGGGAAAAACACTCAAACAAGACAAAACAAAAAATCTTCTCCAACCTAACCCTTTGCCTATCCTCCTAGATCCTTTGAACCTATTTTCTAGGGCAGCACGAACTCTTCTACTAGGGTTGGGGTTAGGTCACTGCTGTGCAGAAGGTGAAAGGATACGTTCCAGCCTGAGTCTTTAGCTGGAGGCGGAAATGATGCTCATCCACATAGCATGTCTCCATGGAGTGAATGATGCGATTTCTTACAGCCAGGGGCCTCCGGTGCAGGACCCGCAGAGGTGTCTTCTGGTCGATCTTTAAGTCCTAAGGAGGATGTGATACACAACTATGGAGTCAGCTTTGCTGCCCACTGAAGCTCCTGTTAGCACCTCCTTTGTCCTCTGTGGCTCACCACACATGTTTTCTCTAGAGGACCCCACCTATCACTGTCATGGTAGAAACTAACTAATACCGTAATAAACTGTATGGTAAAGGCTCACGCTCTGTGGGACTTCTCATAGCCTCGTCCATACTTACTTTCTGGGCCCCAGTGCCCCAGAAAAGGCTTTGATGTCAATGTTCCCCAAAGTCCCTTTTGCTCTAATATTTAACCACTAGAGGCCTGGTGCATAAAATTCATGCACTCGGGCGGGGGGACGGGGGGCGGAAGTCACTCAGCCCGGATTGTGAGAGGGCGTAGGCCAGGCCGAGGGACCTCACCGGTGCATGATTGGGGCTGGGGAGGGACATGGGAGGTTGGCCAGCCAGGGAGGGACCATGGGAGGGCTCCAAGGTGTGTCCAGCCCGTCTCGCTTGCCTGATCAGCCAGATCCCAACAGCAAGCTAACCTACCGGTTGGGGCATCTGCCCCCTGGTGGTCAGTGCACGTCATAGCGAGTGGTTGGGCGGCCTTAGCATATCATTAGCATATTACACTTTGATTGGTTGAATGGATAACTGGATGACAGGACACTTTGCATATTAAGATTTTATTATATAGGATTAGGAACCCGCCCTTTACATTAACAGCTCTTTTAGAAGACATATTCTTACTGCTTTTCCCCTAACCCAACAAAATAACCTAATAGTGGGGAATTCAGGCTGGGGTGAGAAATGGCAGTTTTCGAAGGCGGGACTTTGGCCTCCCTGTGTGTACAGGCAGTGTGCATGTGTTAGGTAGAACCGTACACCTCCTCAGGGTTATTTTTTGGTTATAAGAAAGGACACATCTGAAAAATCAGCAGTTGAATCATAATTTTAGAGTGGTGTTTCCACATAATAATGACAAGAGTGTGCAATAAACCAGGACCTCTTACTATTTGTTGGCCCGGTCAAGTTACTTGAGAATAACAATACTGCATGTCTTTTTACAATTCAGATTTGTTTAGGGACACAGGCTTGTTTTCCTCAAAATTAGAGAATTCCTTTTATGTCACAAGATATAAATGAAGAAACAGGGGTTAGTATTATAAAAAGCAAACTAATTTCAAGTTTTAAAAATAGATATTGGATATAACCAGAAATGTAGGTTCATAAGAACTTTGAGTCCTCTTCCATTTCTTGTTGGAACAACTCCTTTCTAATTTGCATGATCAGTGAGTGCCTGAAGCCACACTAAGAAATATTTTGGTCTGGTCCTCCCACCCCCATCCCCATCAAGTTCTCCACCAAGAAAGAAAGAACAAGTTCTGACAACAACTGCACTTGAAGTTGTGTGACTGCTTTTATCAGAGCAAGGAGTCAATGGCCCCTCCTAACTCATAGGGCTTTTTTTCAATTTTACTTTTTTCAATTACAGTTGCCATTCAATCTTATATTCGTGTCAGGTGCACAGTGCAGTGGTTAGAGATTTATATAACTTATGAAGTGGTTCCCCTGGTAAGTCGAGTGCTCACCTGGCACCATACACAGTTATCACAATATTATTGACTCTGTTTCCTATACTTTACATCCCTGTGACTAAGTCATGGGCTTGAAGATTCAATAATTCTTTTATGTTAATAGCACTTTGTTCTGACAAGATAAGCTGACTTCATAAGGTTTGTTCTTGCAAGTCATAGACGTCGACCTACCTTTATCTTTTTTCTATTTTTGTGTTTTTTTAAATAGTTAGATCATATTCCAACTTGTTCTACCATTTCCTTATTAAAGGAAATTCATTTTGTTTCCAGTTTTGTTCTCTGGCCAGTAAGACCAAAAGAACGACAAGGCAGAACTTTTAAGGAATCTGTAACGATGTGGCCTCTACTTTAGAGTACCTTTAAATGAGCAACTACTTAATGAATATTCATCGCCATTTCCATAACTTCCATCACTCCCAGGGCTTTGACCCATGAGCCAGTCAATGGAAATACCTCTACAATAATACTCAGATCAACACACACTCATGTGTCATTTTTGGTCTGTTTTTAGCAGCAGAAGGAAACCAATCAGCTACTCTAACATTACACGCTGATGTCCCCAGACTGCTGAATGTTCAGAAACACACATAAACACACACAAATGATTTTTCCTCCTTGGAAGTAGGTTGCCCTTAAAAAAAAAAAGGAGAAGAGTAATAAATCTGAAGTGGCTTTTTCTCAGAATGGGGCAATACCTCAGTTTTTATATTTTTTATACCAGTAGGAATACTTGAAAACTATTTTAACTCTAACACTTAAAAAATTATCAGAAGTCATATAGTCTCTGGTCCCAATAGTCCACTTGGGCTGTGGATCATTAAAACAGATCCTTTAACTATTTAGGCTGTACCTATAAAAATTACCTTTCAGCAATATTTCTGAATTAGCTTTACAGCTACCTCCAAACTCTAGATCTATTTTTCAAATGAGTTTACTTTCCCCACAGCATTCTCAATGACTTGTACACATGGCATGAAACAGAGGTTTAACAATTTGTTTTGCAACCTTAAAGATATCTATCTATAGTACAACTATCATCCTGAAGGCCCAGATAACAGGGCCAAAAGCCAAAAGGCCTTACACACAGAATCACAGGACCTGAGAACTGGGGGTGATTTAGTCTACCTGATTGTATAGATCAACTTCTATAAGCAGGTGCGTTTCCACCAAAACACTCAGACTATAAACATTATTTTGCATTTCACTTTTTTTTCTCACCATGCCATGGGTGTTCCTACAAGTCATAGATGTAGACCTCCCTTTATCTTTTTTCTATTTTAGTTTTTTTAAATGGCTGTATCATATTCCAACTTGTTCTACCATTTCCTTCTTAAAGGAAATTCATTTTGTTTCCAGTTTTGTTACTGTTGATTTTTTGCCACTTTGAACAAATATCCTTGATGCACATATCTGTGTGCCCTGGGGTTTTATTTCTTCAGGACAGACTGCCTATAGTAGATGTGCTGGGTGGGAGACCAGTGTATTTTTAATTTTTACAGTCACTGCCACATTGTTTTCCCAAAAAGGCTGGAACGCTTTACATTTCTACTGAATGTATGCCACAAGCCCGCCCTCTGCTCCAACCAACAGGTGCTATGCGTCTCAGAGGAGTACAGTGATGGCCTCATTGTCACTTCAGTGAGGAGGTGGAACATCTTGTTGAATGGTTCCTGACCATCTGGAGTTGCTCTTTTTTTCAGCTGCTGGTTCGTATCCTTTGTCTTTTTTTCTCTATTGGGGGTTTGTATTTTTCATAAGTATAAATCCTACTCAAGAAATCTTTTGCCGATTTGTTTTCTACATAGTCATGCATATGTGTACAGACACTCAGTGTGTGTGCTCTCTTCCCCTTACCATTTGTCAGGCTCATTTCCAATTTTGTCAACAAATACTCATCTACCACATAACTTCTAACAGCTGGCTAGTAACAGTCCCGCATACAGATAAGCCGTAAGATTAAACCAATCCCCTCTAGCAGGTCATCCAGATTATTACAAAATATTGCCCATGTAAATAATGTTCTGATAACTACATATGAACATGTTTGTGCCCATTTATTCTCATTTCTTGTGTGTGAAAGTAAACTATCTTTATAGGAAGAGGTGGGGGCGGATGGGAAGAAATATTCAAATGAACTGGCAGACCCTTTATAATGACATGCTCACGTGAAGGAAAATCTAGCATGGGGCAAAAAAAAAAAAAAAAGTGCTCTACACATTATGCTGTCCTATTTATCTATAACATGTTTTATGCAGTTTATGTTTCTTTTGTACGGGAGGCCAAATACAATAGTAGCATTGCTGAGTGTTTTCTATGTGTCAGATACCGTTCTACATGACTTTTGGGGCTAAACTCATTTAATTCTAATTTTATAGATGGAGAAATTGAAGAGGCTAAGTAACTTGTCCAAAGTCACACAATTAAGAAATGCAGATCCAGGGTATATACCCATGCATCTGTCCTCAGAGGCAGGCTCTTCATCACTAGCAAGACTGCCTCTCAGACAGGTTAGATGGATTGCCCAGTCATTCAACTAGTAAATGGCAGAGCCAGGAGTTGAAACCAGGTCTCACAGTCCCCAATGCCCATGCTCTATGACTTGCTGGTAATAAACTAGAAGACAAAGGACTCTTTTATAGGCAGTAGAAAAATAAAATAAGAAGAATCAGGGCATTTAGCTACCTTCATGTCATTTAGAAATTCAATGTCTTCCTTCCGTATTGCTTTATTTGTCCATATTAAGGCACTATAGGTCTTGGTCTTTTCTTCTTCACCTTCTTTCATATGTCCTATTGCCTCTCTAAAATAAATATATAGATAGATAGATAGATAGATAGATAGATAGATAAATAAATAAAGCAAGCAAGCAAACATTTGTCTGAATATATAAAACTAGAGGCCTGGTGCACGAAATTCCTATAAAATGGAATCATACAACATGTGGTGTTTGGTGTCTGGCTCCTTGCACCTCATAACGTGTTTGAGGTTCATCCATGTTGTAGCATGTATTAGTACTTCATTCCTTTTTATCACTGGTAATATTCCATTGTATGGTTGAATATAACACATGTTGTTTATCCATGGACATTCGGGTTGTTTCTACTTTTTCTGCAATTATGAGCATTACTGTGAACATTCATGTAGGTTTTTTTGTGTGGATGTACATTTTCATTCCTCTTGGAAGTAGAATTGCTGGGTCATATGTTAACCTTTGGGGAAACCACCAAACTGTCTCTACACTGGCTGCACTTACAATACCATGAGGGTTCTAATTCCTCCACATTCTTGTCAACGCTTGTTATTTTCCATCATTTTTATTACAAACATCCTAATGAGTGAAGTTGGATCTCATGGTTTTTATTTAAATTTTCCCGAATAATTCATGCCATTAAGCATTTTTTAAATGCATTCATTGGTTTATTCATATATCCTCTTCAGAGAAATGTCCCCTTACTCATCTCCCTATCGTTAGTTGGGTTGTTTTCTTATTACTGGTTTGTAAGAGTTCTTCATATATTCTGGATATGAAACTTCCCTTTTGAAATGACCTCCAGTGAGCCTACCCTTACCTTGTGACAAGCTGCAAGTCACGGACTTGGATTTTGTTAGACGAGCTATTAATTTTCTATAGTAGCAGAAAAAGAAAAACAATTAGCAGCTCCAGGTCAATTACAGAGTGGCACAAACAGGACGATTTCCATGCCATGAAGTGGTTTACCTGCTGAAGTTCCTTAATTTCTTGTGAAGTGAAATGTACTCTATGAGGATTCACCAGCTCAATTGCAAAGGGCCTTCCTGCAGCACACACCCCGCCATGAAACAGAAATGTGTGGATGGAGTTAACATTTGGGCGAGTGCAAGAGGGTTAGGAGGTGTGAAAACATGAGGTGAGCTCTAGAGGACTGAAAGTTTAGCTACATCTGGGGAGGGGAGAATGTGTGAAAAGAATTAAGGGGCTTTGGGGGGCTGCTAAACCCCAGTGCAGGCAATATGTGAAAGTGACTGCTTTCCCAAAGGTCCACAGGCAAGCCTGTGTTAATTACAAAATAAAATCTAAACGACCACTAACGGACTTGGTTACACTGGTGTCATGCTGTCACATGCAGCCATGTCCAGGTAAGCCTCGCTGAAATCCATCCTCCTAGCTTAATCCTCTCGTGAAACAGAGGAGCTGTGATTCTATGAGAGGAAGGATCTATAAATCTCAAATAGCTCTCATTTTTCTTGTAATGAAACAACGAAAAACCAGAAATGAAGGCTAAAAGAGCAGAGTCACTTTTTCAACGAAGATGTGCATTTTAAAAACTGTTCTTGTCCTGCTGAGATGTTATTAAATGGAACAATTAACAATCAAACTTTTGGGGGAAAATCAGGCACCTCCTGCTGAATGCACATAAAAGTCCCTTGTAACCTACAGGCATGCAATAAAAATGGCCTCTGAAGAAATGACTCCAGTTAAAACATAACAATTATATACTTTATAAACATAGCTCCATAATCCACAAAGCTTTCTCACTTGGAGAGGAGCTCTGGGCTCCACCCACTTTGGTTTTGAGTCAGTGACTATAGTAAACTATAGTGATAGTCTGAAAGTTAGTTCTAGTCGAGTGATGCTGTTGCAATCTTACCATTTCCTAATGTCCTCACATCTACATCTTCTCTTCCAGAGGATGAAAAATTAAAACCTTCAGAAAGCAGATAAAGAAAAAAAAAATTCAGAGAAATAATAGTCCTAATACTTCCATTCCTGCCCTTCGGTAGAAACCCAATTTTTCTTAAACAATTTACAGGAGAATCCGAAAGGATAATCATCATCCCACCTCTATTTCCAATCTCTCCTAAAGATTCCAATAATAATGACAAACACCTTTTATTGAGCACTTACATGCCAGGCACTAAGCTAAAATTTGTGCGTACATTATTTCATTTTATTTTACCCGGTGAGATAGGTATTAAAAAAAACAAACAAAAACAAACCACCAAGCTTCAGAAAGGTTAAGTACTTTTCTCAAGGTCACAATTTAAATGGCGGAGCTACTTGTTTCCAGTGTCAAGGCCAGATCTTAACCACCATCCCACGGGAAAGCCAAACGCAGAGCATGATTTGGAGGAATCCCCCCTCTCCCCCACCACCACCCTGGTCACAACTTATGGTGAAAGGTCTATCTACTTTCTTCATTTATTTGATAATTAAACTCTATGAAAGGGAAAGGAGGGAGGAAATATTTGACTCTAACGCAAATTCATTATATAAGCAAATCTAAGCTGGAACTGTGACAAAACTAGCGTTCATTTTAAGATCGATGGGTCATCACAGACTAAAAGCTGCAAATATTGAAATGGGAAGTGGTTTTAAAAAAAAGTGAGGGGAGAAGTGTCACATGACAGCTTTTTTAGAAATAGAACTGACTAATGATTTCATCATCATCACCATAGCCCACATTAACATGAGAGGCATTATTCTAAACATTTCATATGTGTTAACACTATGAGATAGGTTAACATTATGAGATAGACAGTGACATTATCTCTATTTTATTTATAAGGCAGGTAATACAGAGAGGGGATAAGTAACTTATCTAAGATCACATCACAGATAAGTGGTATGGTCAAGATTTGAACCAGGTAGTCTGGCTCCAGAGTTTCTTAACCTTGTCCATACTGCACCACCGAGAAGACAGCCAAAAATGCTCAGACTTGTGCCCACGGAAAGCAAGACCAGTCTTGGACCAAAGACTGGGAAGGCGGGAATGTTTTTGAAAGCCTGGTCAATCATCAGAGTGGTAGAGTTTAAGGTCTCTGAACATAGAGCTCACACCCTGATTCTTTCATTCGGGAACAAATATGTACAGGATGTGTGTGCAAGGCACTGTGCGAGATGATGGAGGACTAAGGCACACAAGGCGGACATAGCTCTTGTCCTCCCAGAGATTACTGTGTATGCAGGAGATGGACCATCAACTAGTGGAGGGCTGGGGCAGGAGAAGTACGGGAGCATTCCTGCACTTAGAGCACAGTGCAGTGAGAGCGATGAGATTTTTATTTATTCCTCGGTAGGCCAGCCACTCTGGAAAGCACGAGATAAGGGAGAACAAGACTATGGGATGAGCAGATAGGAAGGTGGGAGGAGGAGGAATTCCATTTTAACAGCCATTGTTAAATCTTCCCAGGGAAGATTCTAAATACAAAGTTCTCATGTAGATTTTTAAAAAGGGAAGGCTAAAAGCTTTAAAGTCCTATGAAAACTACACTCAAGAATAGCCCTCCTTGCCAAAACCGGTTTGGCTCAGTGGATAGAGCGTCGGCCTGCGGACTGAAAGGTCCCAGGTTCGATTCCGGTCAAGGGCATGTACCTGGGTTGCGGGCACGTCCCCAGTGGGGGATGTGCAGGAGGCAGCTGATCGATGTTTCTCTCTCATCGATGTTTCTAACTCTCTATCTCTTTCCCTTCCTCTCTGTGGAAAATCAATAAAATATATTTAAAAAAAAAAAAGAAGAATAGCCCTCCTTTCCAGTATGGTTATCTGTGAAGAAAGCAGGATTTCACCCTTCCTTCATCTTTAAAAAATCACGTTAGCAAGCCAGGGCCAACCCCTGCTGGAAACATGGGCTCCGAGCTATAGGGTGTCAGGTACTGCCATGGCAGAGGGGGCTCCTCTCTATGCTCAGGGCCCAAAGCTGTGGCTCTCACACAGAGAAGCAACCAAGGACTGGCTAGCTAAGCACTAGCTATCCAAGGCAGGTCTAGAATTCAAGCTGTGAGTGAGGCTCATAAGTCTGGGTAGGCTGTGCTGCATTATTCCAGAGGACTGGCCAGTAGAGAATCTAGGTCAGGCAGGGAGTGGGATTCCATGGACCAGTAAGTCCCAAAGAACCATCCATTCCATGCTTCCACTCCATTGTCAAGCTGTTAATACACATTCAGCAACATTAGTAGCTTTCAGTTAGTCAACACACTTAAGAGTAGCACTAACTGGGGATGGAGAGCTAAATAGAGAGTTCAAATGGCATCTGGGAAGCTGAAAAATACCGACTCCTTGTGGCTATGATTTGTCTTCTACCTGTTCACCTCCATCTCCAAACCAGCCATAATGTCAGGGAAGCAGGAATCCACAGTGACTGAGCCACACCCGCAACAGTGACTGCTAAATCAGACCAGAAATCTCAAACGCATAAATCAGTCCATCTAACTTCTCACAAATTCCAGCACATCAACAAGAAAGAGGGGCAGAAAGCGAGGCTCTGGAGAAGTCCAGAGAAACATCATAATCCTTCCAGACAGAGGGAGAGGGGGTATTTACTGTATATTTTAGGAAAATGTTACAAATTTGAATCCCACATGGAAAAACACTTTTGGGGGCAAACTTCAAAACTTTATTCATAGGCAATTATGAATAACAGCCAGTAAAAAAAAAAAAGGGGGGGGGAGCCACTGCCATTCTGGGAAACACATTGTTTAAAACTTAGTTGCATTTTCTAAATCCTATAAGTGCTTTGAGTCTTCTGCTCAAAGAAACGGATGTTTCAAAAACAAATAGAAAGCCAAGGGTAAGAAGGGTCAGGAACTATGTCTGTGGTTCAGCTGGTCTGCAGTGGCCTCAGACCCAGGGGCAGACAAGGGGGCAGAGACCAGCTGATAACGTTAGGATGTCAAGTGAAGTGGTGGGGACTTGATCCTGTAGCTCAGTCACTGACCAGTTTTCAGCAGGGAGCCGCCATGACAAACACTTACTCACTGAGCGATGGAGTGAGTGTGTTAGGGGAAAATTTTTCTTTGATTTTGAGAGTGTTCAAGTTTATTACTCATCGCCTAGGGAATTCGCAAGTGCATACCATGAAGTGACTGAGAGACAAGTTTGTATCTCTCACTTAGGGGAAGGAACCTTTCTGAAGTAGCTAGGCTGCTTCGTGCAACACCGGCTTATTTTCATCGAGCTGTAAAACGTGGAGGTCCCACAGTCAGAACCATCTTCCCTGAGTTGTCAGAGGTGAACCCCAGGAATGACAAGTAATTTATCTGAGAAGCAGGGGTTTAGAAAAATGGATGCTATTACTCAGGCCTTTCGAACAACAAGGTCTTATCACGACAAGAAGCCCCTGAGCACAGAGGCCTCCAGAAATACGCTTTTTCTTAAGTGGCTCTCAATAAACTTCCTCAGCACAAATACCATATATGTTACACACACAGTTTTACTTATTTCCAGCTTGGGGACAGATTTTCCCTCTCAAATGGAAAATGACAATGGAGTGCCTTCATGAAAGACTGCAAGGGTGAAACACGCTGGTCATGACAGGGGCTTCCTGGGGACCCACATCATCAGAATTGAAAGTTTCTTGAATCTTACAGAAAAGGAGTGAGGTGGCCACAAAAAAGTTTGAAAGAGACGTCTTGTGCCAAAGTTGTATTTTCACTTCTCCACGACTTGGATAAGTTTTATAAGATAGCTAGTGTGCGAATAGTAGATTCAGTAGATTAAAGCTCATGGCAGTAAGCCAGAGTCGTTACTGCTAAGATTCTGGAAAATACTAGTTTGCTAGGTTACTTTCTTCTTCACTCAGTTAAACAATTCTTAAAAGGCCCTTACAAAGAGGGCTGTTCTATATAATCATAAGCAGGGTGGGGTTTGAAGTGCTTCTCTTTACAAGCAGAGTGCGGGAAGGGACAGCCATATGCCATCTCAGCCACTGCTTGCCATTCCTACAGCAAGCTTGTTTTAAGGTGTTTCAGAGAGAAGGATGGACGTTGAGTTGATTCCTCAAAAAAGGTGTTCTAATTATTTCAGGAAACCCACTTCAAGAGTGATTGACATCCTGCCTACAGTTTTTCCTGACGGACATGATTTCCTGTGGTTGAAATCTCAGCCCCTTTCCGCTAGTCTACTCCTCGGTGAAATCATGAGGCTTTATGCTGCCTTTGACCTAACAGGCCTATCAAGACAAAGACAGCTAAACCTGCCCAGATCTGACTCATCCCCCAAACCTGGGCTCATTAATGCCTATGGGATTAAAACGCAACACGACTCCCAGTAAGTCTTTGTAAAATGGTAGCGGTCGGTTTCTTTTCTCTGGGCTTCAGCTTTTTCCCAGGACATTTTAGCGACTGACGGAAGCCAGGCATGTGTCAAGCACTGACTGTGCAAGCTGTATTTTAATTTCCTCAAATTCCACCAAAGAGGTCAAAGCTGAGGTGTCCCAAGGTCAGCGCGTCAGTGCATTCATTTAAAGTAGTTTCGATTGTTTTGAATTTTCCCAGGAAAGAGCAGTCATTTTGAAAAGGGAAAGAAATCCTTGGCACCTTGGCCCAAATCCAGCCCCGGTCAGAGGAGCTCAGCCATGGAGTGTCTGTTTATGGGAAGCTGTCAGGCCAGGGGCCCAGACTTGGTGGTGATTTTAAAAATGCAGAAATCTTGCCCTAACCAGTTTGGCTCAGAGGAGAGGGTTGGCCTGTGGACTGAAGGGTCCCGGGTTCGATTCCGGCCAAGGGCATGTACCTTTGTGGCGGGCACATCCCAGTAGGAGGCGTGCAGGAGGCGGCTGATCGATGTTTCTCTCTCATCGATGTTTCTAAACTCTCTATCCCTCTCCCTTCCTCTCTGTGAAAAATCAATAAAATATATTTTAAAAAATAAAAATAAAAATGCAGAAATCTTTCCTGCCACCTCCAAAAAGTCTGTTCATGAATGACAATGTATTTAAAATGTGAATAATGTAACACTTACTCTCTGCTTTGAATACTGTCAAAAGATGATCTGAAATTAATTCTTCCACTGAAGATTCCAGCTTCCTTTCTCCATCAATTATCCAAGGAGTTTGTGGCAGATTCCTGGAGTATTTATTATATCTCCCTGCCAGAGAAATATAAGGTAGGCTTGATGGAATGATGTGATTAACACAATGGAATAAGTACAAAAAAGCAACAACTATGTATTGCATGCCATACCCTATGATATAAAACAAGGCTTAGCAAATAATAATAAAACTAACTAACTAACTAAAATAAATAAATAAAACAAGGCTTAGCCTTCAATTAACTTACAATCTAATTTGGGGAGCCAACGTATAGACAGGTAGACAATTAAGTGATAATATTTAAGGTAACAATAGAAGAGATAGCTAACAACATAATATGAATCATTAAATGAGTTCTAAAGGAATGTTCAATATATTTATTAATCTGACTGGTTGACAAAACAGGTTATATTATTACAGAACTCACCAAGGATCTTTTTTTTTTTTTTTAAAGAGAACAACTACTGCTTTTACAGATGATTAATAATACTTTCAATGTTATAGTCATTGGTGATAATATATTCCAAAGAATTCAAATACAGGAAATTTTGAAGTTTTTGTACTTGAAAAAAAACAACACCCTAACAGAATATGACTCATTGGTTTATGAATAAAGCTCCCCTAAGGAAGGGAGCTTTCATTACCTCATTTCATTCAATAGTCAAAACTAAATATCAATTTCATTTCAGCTATTACTACAAAACAGCTGTAGCTTTCAAAACAAAAACTGTCTGCTAGATTACCCTTGGGAAAGTCAACGCAACAATTTCTTTTCAGGCAGAAGCCAAGTGTTTAGTCATTTTGCAGATAATAAAATTATTTTTGCAAGTTTGTGTTCATGTTATTAAAAAAAAATCTTCTCCATGGCTGTGTTTCTCCTGGCCAGTTTTGGGTCTCACCATCTACTCATATTTCCACTCGGCCATCTCTGATGAAAACTATTACGACCTGGGAAGTGTCATTTCCTTTTGGCATGGCATTCTAAATAACAAATCTCCCGAGTGACCTTAAGAATATCTGTACAACCTAAAATAAGCTTGGCTATCAGTTCTAGTTCTCAAAGAGTTAACCAATCAGAATCTAATAACAAGAAGAAGGAAAGAGAGGAGGAGTCAGTTGAGTTTTTTCAGAAAGGTGAGTAGGTTGACAGCGTAAGTGTATTCTAGACAAAAAATATTACCAGCCACAAAGACAGCACCATGAGCACATTCCATTTCAAGAACAGAGCATACAGCCTTTGGTGAGTTTGGAGGACAAGGAAACTGCCTGCAAAACAAAATAAATTTTATAGCTACTATATTCCGGACATGATAATGAACCACGACAATGAGTCATCGTTGTTCCAGAAACACAGGGCCTGAGTCTCTCAAGGACTCAGCCTCTCCCTGACTTTCAGTTTAGGATCCATACGGGTCTTTTCGCCTCCAGGAGAGGGTCACCGAGGAGGTCAGGCTCTGATTTACTACTGCCTTTCACGTCCAAGGAGGCCTCATGCTCCCAGATGATAATTCCAATGGCCTTGAAATTTGGGAGAAAATTCCGTATATATGAAGTAGAAGCCTCTCCAGATTGTTTGGCCATTTTGCTACCTCTGAACACTTGCTGCTGGCTTACAAAAGTCCTCAAGCATTTGGGTCAAGCCGGTGTGCAATGAGATTGGTCACACCTGTGGGGAGGGTACTTTTTTTTTCCCTTCTCATTCCAACAGAGACCTTTGGAATCAGACCAAAGAGTCAGAAAAAGTGGAATGTCCACTCTTTTTCCTGCCCTTTTAGCAAGAAACTTCACTGGAGAACAGACAGGGAAGAGCAGCGTATGGCTTTAATCTCTGCCCACCACCTGGGAACCTCCAAAGCCATGAACTGGAGTATCCCTGTAAGTGACTAGACGTGGACTTAACACGAAATGTCTGTCTTGAAAATGTCATACAGTTTCCCAAGATGTCTCAACAAAGAAATCACTTAGGAACTCAAGAATTATTGCTTATAGAGAGTAACTGTCTTTACTTCAGAAAATTTAATAAAAATATTTCCATTGTGAGACTCATTTTTAGTCAGTAAAATATAGGAAACCTTCCTCATAACTTCATTGTTTGAAATTTATTCAAGGATCTCCTAGAAGGATAAACTATAACATATTATTAAACAAAATAAACACACTGAGAATTGAAATGTAAGGCTTATTGCATTTCAGCATATTTTCTCCCTTCTCTGGAGGAGGATAATACTACAAAATGCAGGACTTGGACTGGGGAGTCAGGAAACCTGGCTCTAAATTCCTACTCTATTACCCAGTTGAAATAATAAGCAAGCTGATTCCCTCTATGAATTGCTATATCCTCTTCTATAAGATGAAGAAGTTGGACTTGACTCTTAAATTCAAATTTATTTGACAAACATGTATTGAACACCAATGCATGCCAAGTACTGAGCTAGGGACTGGGGATAGAATGATGACTAAGGCACAATCCTGCTCACTGAAATACCTCCAGTCTTGTCTTAAAGACAAATAACCCAAACTCTCGCTACCAATCCCTTTCTTCTCAAGTTCCATGATGCTTCCTCGCTTCCATGTTTCTACTTACTTGCGGAAATCCTCTTCGTTTATCTTATTCAAAGCTTTCATAACCGCCATTCTAGTGAATACTGACTGTAGAGGGTAAAATGAAAAGAAAAGACATTTTATCAGCTAGATGAGAAAACGTCAGAGGTGAAACACAGAACATGGTTGGAGAAATCATACCATTTTAAAAACATACTTAAAAGGGAGAAATACTTAATAGCTTCAAGAAAATAAGTAAAATGTACAAGTGCTCATTTGGTCAGTTCTGCAATCACTATACTCCTACAACCCTTCTCCTTCAGCCTAGTTAGTCTATGTCTACAATACCCAGTAGGCCTAGCAGAACACGTCTTCTTCACTGCACTGTCCCACTCCCCTCAAAGCGTGGCATTCTTCAAATACAAACATGATGACACTGCAGGAAGTGTGCTTGGAATATCTTCTCCCAGGCCTCAAAAGGAATTTAGGTCGATTCATCTACCTTTTCTTCCCTATATCCCTGCAGAGGCTACAGGACATAATTTAGGAGTTGGCTGCCAGGCTAAGGGGTAAAACAGAGCCAAGCAGCCTGCTCTGGCATCTAGCAACTCAACGTCACTCAGCAGCCACAAAGTAAAACAAATCCATGATACTGAATAGAAGGGCATCTACAACAAACGTCCCCCTTAGGGGTTTTTAAAATAAGAAAAGCCAAACCACATGGTAGACATACTAGAACTAACTACTTTATGTATATATATATATGATAAGTCACATATATATATATGATAAGTCACAATTATTTTGTCTGTTATGAGAAATGACACTTGACTGAAAAGGGGCGCAATGTAGACATCTCAATAGTTTATCATCAAGGCCATGTTTTTCTAAATCACATTCTGGGGAACCCCAAAGTGTCACAGGGTTAGAACTGAAAATTAAGTGCCTGTTTGTTCAGATTGGAAATTTTAGGCCTGAATCTCTTAAGGTCACTCAATTTACTACCAGCCACAAGGCAGGAAAAGTACAGTTAAAACTATACAGCACCTACTGGCCAAATGGTGTGGTGTCTATGATGCTTTCACAAGAATTCCCTTATCCTATTATCTGATGCTGGTACTTGTATATTTCCTCAAAGATAACACAAAATAAACCTAGCTCTTCAATATAAATATGGCTTATAGGTCATTGGGACAGAATTTCCCAACTGATATGGCAAAGCAGTGAGCTGCAGTTGTGCCAATATTCCAATCCCTGTAGTTCACGGGAGCTGAGCAGGGCCTGGGACAGTGGGCGGCACCAGGCTTACTGCTTCCAACTTAGAGCAACTTCATCTGTTAACCTCAGGGTGCTGAACAAACATGGCAGTGTTCTGGGTGCACTGTGACGTGAGAAAGGTCGGGAAGTGCTACTTTAGACTTGGTCTACATTTCTAGTCATTTTTGCACAGAGCATTCAGCAAATGTTACACCCCGCTCCCTCCCGCACCACCATCCCCCCCCCCCGCCCCGCCCCACCAACAAGTTCTAAAGGCTCAGCAATCAGTCAAAGCAAGAGGAAGATCAAATGAACTATTTTTGACAATAAACTTACATTCTTTTTAACAACCAGAACAGCAAAATGGATGTCAGTCATTCAGGAATGCCTGAGCCTGCACAAAACCAGCTAAGTAATGGGACATGAAAGTTTGCCAATACCATGCCATGCCATTCTATCCTGGTATAATAGAAACTAAAAGTAAATGCCAACTAATTTGCTCATTAACATGAAGACCAGCTCACATCAGACAGTAAAGGGGAGTTTGAATAATATGCCCTTTTTGCAAATGTAGCTTGAAATAGTCTTTATTAATTCCGTACAATAAAATAATTTACTTTGGATTATATTTTTTAAAACACCAATTGCTAGAAAATAGATCTTAGACAAAAGTTTGGAATGCTGTTCAATTTACCACAGACTTTTCCCAGATGATATCATTTTGGGAATTAAAATCTATACGTTCAAATTTTCCCAAATGGTTAACAGAAACATCCTTGAAACCCGGGTTCTAAATTCAACAAGAGGATAACAATCCAGATGATGACACAACCGTGAGTGCGGTTATGACTTTCTAGACAGACGCACAGGTGTTGAGAGCTGAAAAAATAAATAAATAAACATAGCAAGTGGAAAGATTTAAAGACTTGATTCTTAGTAAAATAGATTGCCACATTACTATTGCATACCTTTCTTTTTTTTTTTTTAATTTGAATAATCAGCTCAGACAAAAACTCACTAAAGAATAAGAACCAGGCGCCCTTACCTGTTTGTTTTTGGCTGGCTTGAAGCAATCCGGGCATATTGCACGTCTACGTAAAATTCAAGTTATTGTAAAAGGTTAATGAGTTTATTTTGCTGTGAATATAATTCAAACGTATTTTATTCAACATGGCTGCTAAACTCAGGATATCAGGAGCAGACAAAATAAATCCCTATACGAGCTGCATTGGTCCCAGGGGTGGGGAATGTCCAGTCTGTGGACTGTGAAATCATTTGGTCTGGCCCTGCCAAGGCATTAGGGGTGAGTTAGTTAAATGTCTGACCAAATACAGCAGGCTAATTTTTAAGTTGATAATTTTGTATGGCCCGAAAATGATGTTATAAATATCCAAATGGCCCTTGGCAGAAAAAAAAGGTTCCCCACCCCTGGCTAGACTTTACATTAGAGAGAGCACATTTTAAACCTACTAAGACATGACAAGTTCTGATATACTCATTAGAAAGAGGAGCAATACTATTTTCATGAAAACCAAAAAGCATTAACAATGTTATACCATTGACATTGTTGTTTACGCGGCAACTTACAGGAAGTGGCAATCCTCCACTGTTTCTGGGTGAGCAAAGACCACACTCACTTCAAACAAGCTCTAAAATATTATAAAAGACAGTTTAAAAATGAGCAAAAGGAAACCAACATCTAACAACTTATGAATGGAAATAGAAATGAACTCTCACAGGTTGGCTCAGAAAAAGAGTGACAAGGAAAACGGGAAATACTACTATTTTCAAATCGGCTTGTACACAGAGCAGTTGTAGAGGAAATTGTCTTTTTTCTTTTTTTAACTCCTAAAGTTCAACCACTAGTGATCCTACCAAAAAACAAGTTTGAAAGAAATTTTAAAATAAATGTTTCTGACTTTTAAATGTTTAAATGTTTTTAATGTTTCTTCACATTTTGTACATGAATATACATTAGGTGTGAAAATGAATGAGAATTCAGGGAATTGGGAAGAGAGAACTGAAAGAAATGAAGAATTATTCCAGGCAATACGAGGATTAGAATTATTAGCAAAGGAAAAAGCACTTTATTTACATGCTTAAAAACTCTGTATGAGGCTTTTTAAAGGTGTTCAAACTTCTTAATAAGTTTGAGTTTTAAAAGAGAGATCTTAATTTTTTCTTATTACAAAAGCAATACATACAAATTGTAAAATGATCAAATACAGGGCAGGTTTTCAATCCCACTCCACTGAGGGGATAGAACCAGGAATAGTTTGGTGTGTTTCCTTCAAACCCTTCTTATATATATAGACATAAATGTACAGTATATACTTCTTGGGACAGTAAACATACATTTGTATAACTGCTTCATGAATATTATGTCATGGACATCTTTTCAACTCTAGGGGCTGTTGGATATTTTAGTTGTAGTAAGTTTTTCTAGTATTAAAAAAATTCTAAAATAAACATCCTTGTACACACAAGAAATCACAATTTCATACTTTGCGTACACTGACCATGGAGAATATATAACATTCCACATTGAGAAAAATATATGAATGTCATACCATGCAACAATCTTACCTTTTTTATTGAGTACTACATTACAGATTGCATAGGACTGTCGGCAAGCCGATTAACTACTCTAGAATCACAATAGTTGGTTTTTTCCTCTCTATTCTAATCTACCAAATAAAAATAAGATTACAACATTTTTTTTTTTTTTTTTACTCATAAAAACTTCAGTCCTTCTGAATCTATTAGAACATTTTTATATCTTTTGTTTTCTATTTTTGGTTCTGAGTCAACATATAAGAAATCATTTGTGCTTCAAAAATAAAACTTGAGGTAAAAAATATTTTTTGTCAATGACTTCTTTAATTTCCAAAGTACTTTCATTACCTCATTTCCTCTTCATGCTATCTGTGGGTTTTATTTTCTATTCTCTCAGTATTCAGTTTAAAGGGTAGTCAGAGTTTATTCTCACTAACTGAGAGAAACAGAGCTATACAATTCAGAACAGTAAATTTTTAAAAAATATTTAGCTTTGAAAAATGGTTTTCTGATTTTACTTGCATGAGCGTGTGTCTGATATTCAGGGAATTTCCTTCAAGCAAAATGACCAAGCAATGAGGCCATACTCTTACAATTTAATTTAAATGAGCTGGGAATATGTCCTGTTTCCACATCTTGAAACTTGTTTAGCTCTTCCCCAAAATTCAATCCATTCTAGAGACTGAGGCAAGGTCGGCTCTGGAATAGGGAGATGGTTAAGTGTTCGGTTTTCCAAGGCAGTCTCTGCATAAGATCCAACAGAGGGATTTAAAATAGCAACAAGGCAACAGACTGAGCCCAGGCTCACTGTAGTTGAGAGGATTCTGTCTGCATATTTGAAAACAAGATTAGCCACAGATAACAAAATTTAAATAGTCTAGAGTGGATGCTATACTCGCTCCGTTATTTATGTATTGCTTTGTGTCAGTAAATTCATCCCTACAATTAAAATATAAGTACATTAAAGGCTTAGATTCATTTCTAACCTCTTAAGGTCAATTAGGATACACTGCACCTGTTACACTCACAAGGAAGTCTTTAAAAAAAGAAAGAAAGAAAAAAAACTTTAACCTCAATTTAAGACTGTTAAAAATTCTCATTTTAAAGGCTTAAAAATCCTTCATTGGATTATTTAAAGAGAATATTCTCTTGGCTAACCAAAACTGTACCATAAAATAAAGTAAAATTGGTGAAATCAGAGAACATAATTAACAATGCTGATGACCCAATACCTTTCCATCAATGGGAACACCCAGTTCCTCTGAAAACAGGGGGTGAGTTATCCATTTGTAGGCTTCTTTTAGCTGAACTATGTCATTTCTTCCCAGTGACAGACTCTGCTTTCTGAATAACATAAAAATGAATTCACTGACATGAAAAACTTCACTTTTTCTACTAAAGGCAAGAGTTTATGCAATTATTTAAAAAATATTTATTAAGTGCCTCCTATGTCCCAGGCACTATTTTACACATTAGATAAAAAACAGAGAACAAAGCAGACAAAAATTCATGAGCTCATGGGCCTTATATTCCAGTAAAATCAAGAAGCTGGGTTTTTTTTAATGGCATAAAGACAGTGTATAATGTTTCAGAGACAAAGGTGTACTAATGAGCTAGAATTGTCAGATTCCAGAATTTATACATCAAAAGACAGAAAGGTGGGATGGAGAGAATTGTTTATTGTTCAAAAACTACAAAACTGCACATTACAATAATCTCATCCAGACTAAACTGTTTGCATCAATACTATTCCTGATAATAGGGCTTTCTTTTGGGAAATATATGTAATAGCTATACTTTTTTCTTTACTGCTGAAGATGAAATATTAAATCCTAAAGTATCAATGTTCTGAAATACTCATCATCTTAATATCAGATAAATGTCTGAATAAAAATCTGACATTCCCCCAAAATCTACTATGAGCCAATAAACAGGTTTGGGGAAGTCCCAATTATGATTTCTAGCCTTTGGTTTGTAAACTAGAATTGTGAGAGAAAGGAACTGAGGTAAGAGGAAAGAAAAACATGGTATGATATTATTAAAACTGCTCTACTCTGCTGAGAACACTGCAGTATCTGCTGAGAACACTGCAGTATCACTAATAAAGTAACAGGTCCACATCAGTCATATAATTAAAACTTCAAATCAGTCTTATGGCTAGTCACAGGGCTACTTTTAACGAAGGAGATATTAAGGACCAACTTGTGAATCATTTATTTAAATGTCTAATTTTCACTGATATACCCTGGCCAAGTAGCTCAGTTGGTGTCATCCCGATATATCAAGGTTGTGGGTTTGATCGCCAGTGAGGGCATATATAAGGATCAACCAATAAATGCATAAGTGGAACAACAAATTGATGTTTCTCTCTCTAAAAATCAATTTAAAATGTTTTAACTGACAAAAATTAATTTTCACTGATAGAAATGACTACTTTTAGTCAGTGCTTATTATAATTTAAATTCTTCAAGACCAAAAGACACTACTAAGCGAAGGTAGAAAATAAGACCGTAATTTAACTAATGGCTAAATTTAATCAATTGTTAAAAAATAAATATACATTCAAGAACTTATTCAAGCACTAAGTATTTGAGCTTCATAAATTGTTTCTAATTTTCTAAATAACAAAAAAAGTAGGTCTTTTTAAAAACTATCTTGATATTTTATCAATAGTTTAATGATATTTCCATTAAAAAAACATCACAATTGAAAGGTGAATAATAAATGAGAATGCATTTTTAAAGGATAAAAAGTTGAAACAGAGAACATAAGAATGGAAAACTATTTAAAAATTGCTTATACTCTAAAGTACAATGGGTTGCGGCAAAAGTCAATCCTGAAAACATTACTCAATGTGTAGTTAAGAAAACCGGTATTTTAAATCCCTCATAGTCTTTGAAGTATATTTAGAGCTTCTCAGTCAAGTTAAAAAACTTCAACTATATGCATGTTTTTCTTCCAGATCAAAGAGCTAGGGGAAAGAGTTGGAAACCTTACCCTTATGCAAATATTTAAAATGCCAGATTTTCAATCCTGTAAGTTGAATGTGGCTAATGACTTTTCTAATATGATGTAGGTAGACGTTTTTCCAGAGGCCCCTAGCATATGCTTGAAAGTCCTTTAGAGGAATTAGTATAATACCAAGTTCAGTCCCAATTTAGTACTTAGTAACCACATTTCCCTCCTCTATCAGGAAACTACTGATGAGGATGTCAATTGCAATCACTTTTGCTATAGATATAACATGACAACCAACTAGATCAAAGAATCCAACACAATTTTTTCTAAATTCCTTGAGTCAATTCTACAATGGCAATTCTTTCACAATCTTTTGAACATAAAAAGACTTAGGGACACTAAGAATAAAAATTAGTGCTCTTTCTATATCTTTCCTGTCTCAGAAACCCTACATTGAACGGAATCTTTTGGAAGAACTCATAAACTTAGTTTAAAATCCTTCAATAAGAAATAACAGCAACTCACAAGCAATGTGGGTGGATTCTGGAAAATTCAGAAAATAGAATGTTCTGACTACAGTAAACACTTTCTCAAATACAGTATCAAGTTTTATTATGCCAGAATCACAAGCATTTGAGACTAATCTAACATAACCTGACCGAACTCCAAAACCTTTGATAAATATGTGGTTATTGCCCCCTGAAAAATGTAGATGTGAAATATTTTTAAAAACCAACTACTTCGTAAATAAATTACTTAACCAAATTCAAGATTTTAATACAGAAATCTGTACTTCTCTCTGAATTTTTCTCTCCAGAGTACACAGAAAACCTCTAGCAGTCACATGGCCTTTTTTATATTAGTCTAAAAATTTCAGTGTTAAAATCCGAAAAGCTCTGGAAAATGCAAGATTTTTTTTCTTAGCTCAGTGAATTGAACATGTGAGACTGTTTAGAGACTTTAGTTATGAAACTTAGTGTGAATATTCATATGTTTCACTGTAGAAGTATTAATGTTTGATTATACCAGTGGTTCTCAACCTTCTGGCCCTTTAAATACAGTTCCTCATGTTGTGACCCAACCATAAAATTATTTTCGTCGCTACTTCATAACTGTAATGTTGCTACTGTTATGAATCGTAATGTAAATATCTGATATGCAGGATGGTCTTAGGCGACCCCTGTGAAAGGGTCGTTCGACCACCAAAGGGGTCGCGACCCACAGGTTGAGAATCACTGGATTATACAGTAGCAACCCAGACCCTAGAAGGGAAGGTATGTTATATATGGTATTTAACACCATATTACATTTTCAAAATCTAAAAATTTCTACCTTCCACCACACATTTGGCCTTGAAAGGTTTCCGATGAAGGACTGTGGACCTGTTTCCTATGTCTCGTCTACGTATAAACTCACTATTGTTCTGCCTTAGCTAGGGTTTTACTTTGTATCTTTTATAGCATAATTAGTTTCGTAAATTAGTTTCTAAAACCAGTATAAAATTTATTCTCTTAAAATAACTTGCCAAACTACATTATATAAGTGACCAATGAATATAAAGTATGTATTTACATTCATGTTAAAGCTACAAAAAAAATCTGCTAATGTTATGCAAATAAACCAATTAAACAAGGTTGACACCTAAATTTATACAATGAAAATTTTCTTTGTGCCAAATTCTCTAGTAGCCAGTGAACTCACTCTAAAAAAAAGAGATAGTGGTACTAAAAGTCCTTTAAGAATTAGGTAGCTTATATTTAAATGGTGGTAAAAATTCCCTACCTAAATTACTTACCCCATTTCCTGTTTTACCAGCAACCATGCAGCATGCTGTAGGCAATTTAGTCACCCCAGAAAGAAAAGGGAAAAAATGTTTATTGAAATTCAGTTCCAATATCATTACAAAAGCGCTTAACTAATTTGCTAATCAAACTCCCCTTTTGGGGAGAGAAGGTAGTGTTCAGAAATGTGGCAGTGACCTCAACCTCATAAAAAATCAGAAATGAGATTAAGAAGCCACTTTGCAACGTTGCTTGCTGTGGCCTAGGAATTCAACAGGGGTATCCCCCACCCTCCTACAGATTTCTATTTCTTATTAATGAGGTACAAGTGTTTTTTGACATGGGTAGCTTACATTTTTTTCTTAAAGTATCTTACTATTGCATAGGGAAAGGCCCAAAGGGACTGAGTACATACTATGTCCCTAACGCACAGAATTGAAGGCTCAGTTTTGTTTTTGTTTTCTAATAGGGCTAACACAGTTTTAATTATGCCTAATGATATACACATGTACGTGTTGAGGAGTCAAAGGTCCTCATGTCTGTAACTCACTCTGGAATACAAGAAAAACTAATGTGGATGGTAGATAAATTGATGGATAGATATACAAAAAAGCAAATATAGAAAAACCATAACAACTGTAGAATCCAGGTGGGTATATGGGTGTCCATTCTTTCCACTTTATTATATGTTTGAACATTCTCATAAGAAGATGTTAGGGAGAATGTTCTGGGGAGGATTAATAGAAAACTGAAAAAACTGCTAAAACCACATTCACAATCATAGTCATTATGAGGATTCAAGAAAATTCATGTAAAATGCTTTTTTTTTATTGTCTAAAGTTTTACATATGTCCCCTTTTTCCCCCAATTGTAAAATGCTTTACACCAGTGGTTCTCAACCTTCTTAATGCCGTGACCCTTTAATACAGTTCCTCATGTTGTGGTGACCCCCAATTTCATTGTTACAAATTGAACATAATTAAAGCATAGTGATTAATCACAAAAACAAAATGTAATCATATATGTGTTTTCCGATGGTCTTCGTTTGGCCCCCAAAGGCGTCGCGACCCACAGGTTGAGATCTGCTGCTTTACACGGTATGTGTGTGACAGTAAGATTTCTCCGTTTGCCATTAGACTACCATAGCTTTCACCTTAAAAGAAGGTAATGACACGTGCTACCTCAGTATACAGCATTTTGTGAAGATGACACAAGCACATGTAAGACGATAAAATGCCATATGCAGTCTCTATCACTGGCCAGTCATTATCACTCACATCCACCTCAAAACCTAGTTATATCTATAGATCTATCAATCTATCTTATCTATCCACCTACACACACACACACACACACACACACACACACACACACACACACACACACTCACTATGGCTCATATGTAGAACCCTGTCCTTTTAAACTTCAGTAAGGCACTAGATACTTCTAAAGACTTACAATCATTTGGAAACATTAGGTGCATTACTTCCTTTGGACATGAACTAAACAGAATAATCACTAGCTAGGTGAGAACGAGAACTGTTCCCAGTGCCTAACTGTCTCATCAGTGCCTTCTGATCTGATAGTTTCTTTACCTTGTTAGCTCAACCTAACACCATGTGTAGTACTACAGAACCCCTCCGTCTCTCCTTCCCTTTACTCAGGACCTCTTTGAAAGTGTATGGGCATGGCATAGTATACATATCACTAGCGGTCAGAGACCCTCAGATCCCAAACTGCTCTACTACAGGTAGTTCTGAAATCTCCCTCATCGATGGAATCTCTTCGGTATCTGAGCTTTAGGAAACTATCTTACCTGCCCCCTCCTTAAGGGGGCTCAGACTCATTAGTTCTTTTTCAGTAACCTTCTTCTCTCCTCTTTTGAGGCAAAATCTGTTCTCAACAGTCACTTCCAGGTGATGCCATCAAGTCTGCAATGTTTCCTGTCATCCTCTGATTATAAAGTAGGGCAGAATTGGAGGTTGCCAAGGGAAACCAGATTACCATGTGTAACATGTAAAATTAAATCAAATCTCTTCAGTACCTGAGATCTGCTAAAGGGTTTCCCCTTCCTAATCCTCTAGGCTCCCTGCTCAAGCATGCCAGCAGGTCCCACAGAACTCATCACACAGCAGGGGCTGGAAAACTGAATCCCAAACAAGTTCCAGGTGCTCAATGATGCAGTTTTTTACCAAGTGTTAACGATGCCCTGAACCTGCTTCTGCTGGGGAAAGAGAAGTACATTTCTTTTAGGTTACCAAGATAATTTTAAATTTATAAATCTTCGATTCCTTAGTCAATGGGAAAAATTCATTCTCTAGAGAGCAAGCAATTCAATTCTTCCTCCCCAAAAGAGTCAAATGGCATTAAAGTTATCAAGTTTAATCAAATTTGATAACAAAGGCAGTATATCACCTCCTAAAAACTCAAAAACCACACAATTTAATCTTGGACTCTGCTTTAACTTTATTAAAGAACTGAGGCTTGGTGTACGAATTCATGCATGGGTGGGATCCCTCGGCCTGGCTAGCGATCGGGGCTGCGGGAGGTTGACCAAGGGGGAGGGGCCATGGGAGGTTGGCTGGGGAGGAGGGGCCGTGGGAGGTTGGCCAGCCAGGGGGAGAGATTGTGGGAGGTTGGCCAGCCGGCCCTATTGGGGCCGATTGGGGCTAGCCGGCCATGGGAGGTTGGCTGTGGGAGTGCACTGACCACCAGGGGGCAGCTCCTGCGTTGAGTGTCTGCCCCCTGGTGGTCAGTGTGCATCATAGCAACCAGTTGGCTGGTCGACCGGTCGCTTAGGCTTTTATATATATAGATTCCAAGCAAGTTCTAAATGGGGCAGTTGAATAGCATCCTTGCTACAGTGCTGTGTACTCTGGACATGGACACACACACACACACACACACACACCAGGGAAAGTCTATGCCTTTTGAACTTTAGAGTTCTGAGGAAGTGGTTCATCCAGTACCTAATGCGGAGAGTGGATGATGTAGGGCCAGGGATTGAGGCTGATTCAAGCCGAGGTGGCAGGAAGGAAGGACAGAGAGGAACAGGCATTAAAAACGGCATGTTTGGGAACTACAATTTAGTAAAATTGTAGTGTAGAGTATGTATATGCGTGCATAAATGCGAGTAGGGAGTTCAACAACAAGAAATTAAACTAGAAAGGTTAGCAGATTTTCAGTACCCAACGAGGGCATGAATCCAAAGACTAAATAACATGAGAAATGCCACATTTATGTACTTACAAAATCCCACAGAGGCACAAAGAACCAGCACTGACCTGTAACTCATCAAGTCACAATATAACCACCATCTTCACACTGTCTTTCTTTGTGATAGTGTAGTTAAGAGAAAAGTAAAATATTTCTTATACCAAAATATTTCTTTATCATAGAAAAGGTAGTGTAAAAAAAGGCATATGTTCCAGAAAAATGACAGAATGATTGCTGAAAAAGATAGTCCACTTTTCTCAGATATGTTGCCTATCTGGCCCTTATAGAACCTGAGTCTACAATTCCCGAGGGAAACAACCCCTAAAAGGTTGGTCCTGACTGTAAATATTGTGTGATCACTTACAAGGTGACTTATCTCTCTACATGTTGGTTTCTCAACTATAGCATGAAAGGGCTCTACACTTCATTATTTTGTGGGCACCACTTATGTGGTGAGATCTTTGCTGAGAATACGGAGATGAAAGACCAATCTCTGCCCATAGGGAACTCATGATGTAGGAGAGAATAAAGGGGAGTAAAACAAAATTTAATAATAATAATAATAATAATAATAATATTGATAAAAATAAAAATACAGAATAGTGGTGACTATGTCAGGGACATATTTAGAGGGAACGTGTAAGGCACCCTCCGCTCAGTCCTGTAGGAGAAGTGACACCTAATCTGAGCTTTGAAGGATCAATTACTTAGAATTAACTGGGGAAAGAATGGGGGAAGTATGTTCCAAATACAGAAACTCTATGATGCAAAAACCAGACAGCTTCAGGAGAGTTCTGGGAACTATAAGTCCCTAAAGAGCTAAGGACATGTGGCTGGGGAGTGCAAAGGTACAGAACAACTGTACCTATGCTAAGGGGTTAGATTTTACACTTAAAGCAATATGGTGCCATGGCAGGATTTTAAGCAATGGAAAGACATGATCATATTTGTCTTCAGGAATGCTCTCTCTGGTTTCAGTGTCAATTAGAAGAGGAAGATGGGAACTAAGGGAAATGAAGACATGTAGTAAATTAAAGCAGTAATTCAAGCAAGAAATAGTATATTATGGCAATGCTGGTGGGGATAGAGAAGAGTAGGCAGCTTAGATATGAAGACACAAACCAAGAAAACTTGGTGACTAGCAGTGATGTAGGTCTTTCGAATTACCATTAATGCCCTTAAAACTCTAGTCTTTTGCCCCAACCAGGGTGGCTCAGTGATTGAGGGTCAATCCATGAACCAAAAGGTCACTGATTCCCAGTCAGGGCACATGCCCAGGTTGTGGGCTCAATCCCCAGTAGGGGGCGTGCAGGAGGCAGCTGATTGATGTTTCTAAGTCTCTATCCCTTTCCCTTCCCTTCTCGCTAAAGTCAATAAAAACATATTTTTAAAGCAATTCTAGAGTCTTTTTAATCTGACACATCTCTTGGACTCTTTATAATAACAAAGACAATACAAATATAGACTTGTGCCAATAGGGAAATGACAATAGTTGTTTGGGCAGCTAGAGGTAGTATTCCTGCTCCCTCTTCTTCTTCCAACACATACACATGCATACATATACACATTTCTTTTTCTTGCATACAAATAGCCGGTTGGGAACGAGACTCAATACTGAGGTTCGTAACAATAGATACTCTTCTTCCCTTTTCTCATCCAGCCAACTGCCTAAGATTTCCTTCTCCTCCTTCTCCCCTTCTTCTACCTCCTTCTCCTCCCCACTCTCCAATCTGCTACAACCTTGAACACCTGCCTCACAAAGGACCCACTCCTCTCTGTGTGTCAGGTTTGATGTCAAGTGCGGTGGCAGAAAGAGGAAGGTAAGAAAGGAAG